CGGGGATCGAACTCGGAACCTCAGGACAACGAATCCGAAGCGCTGTCCACTCAGCTGTCAGGCGCCATGATGAGCGAATATTTCTCAAAGAGTGCTTTGCTAGTGACCTGTTCAAATTGTAACTATAAATACTTCAACCATGTACTTCAAATACAAATAATCACCAACCTGAATACTTAACCTATGTCTAACTACACAGAAATTTAATGTATAAGAATATTAACTTGTATGTGAGAAACCAATTTTTAACACATACTCGGTACATTAAAATTAATGTGCCTCGGGAGGAGGTCTGCCACTTTAATGAGCGTGGCTTTAGAAAGGGTTGTACAAATAACATTTCTCCCCATGTTATAACATTTCCATAGTACAAATAACATTTCCGTAATACAAATAACATTTCCCCCATGACCATGTAAACAGGATTCTGCTGGCAGCCATTTTCATTGGTGTGAAGCAGCACATACCACACTTAGATTGCTGAACTGTAAAGTACACCACTTTATCATATTTATTATATTTTGCATGAATAATCTCCATGTCTCAAGTGTAAGAGTACTATAAATAAAATGCAAGTTATAATAACAATTTATTTCATGTATCAGATTACATGGCTGTGTTGACATACATATTATTTTGTTAAAAAACTAAAGCCAACTTCTCTTGATCAAATATCTACATGTGACAAGCAGCTAAAATACACATACCGTACATGTATTTTGTGAAATTAAATGTTACTTTGGGATGCTACCTTCCCAATCCCTGTAATAAATAAACATCTCATACATTGCTCTTGGTGAACAAGAAAACATGGCCACAGTTTTGTCACACCTGAAAATAAAAAGTAACACTATTTGGTATGAATTTTTTTTTAGTTATGCATAAATAAAGTTAATGACTATCACTGTTTAGAAGCATCAGTACAGTATCAAGATACATAGCAAATTCTTGAATATTTTTATATAAAAAAATTGCATGAATTTTTACAAATGTGTACATAATATGGAGAATGTTAGTGGTATACTGTCAGCATGGTGGGTAACTAATGGAAGCCTCCAGTGGTAGTCAGTATGGTGGCTAACTAAATGGAAGCCCCCCAATACTGACAAACATAAATGTAAGCCTTTGGCATCACTCAACACTTGGCACATGAAACACTGTGCTGTGCATGGAACCCCACTCATTGCTTGTTTTCCTCAACACTAAGCCATCATAACACAGAGATAGTTGTTCAAATTTACTTTATGATTTGTGTGTACACAATGATTAGGCCAAGATTAAATATATAGGTTCTGGTTATTAGCCCAAAATATCAAGCGATGTAAATAATTATTTTGTAAAGTTATTGCATACATATTTCCTTTATATGGAAGAGTAACAAAGACAACTGAACAAACTTTTGGTTCACTTTCTTTTTGACTAGTTTCCTCTAACATATTTTAACAAAGGTTGGCATTGTACAAAAATATTCCGGATTTGTTGCAATTTAATTAAAATAATTTATGTTTAAGAAAGTTGTACGAGTCAATCAATTATAAATTAACCAATTGGGCTGATATGTACTGTTAGGCAAACACAGACTTCAAAAAAATATTTAATGTTGCTACGATAGGCATGTCTATTTTTACTAGGAAGGTAGTAGGCCTTCAATGATTAAAAGTACATTACATGTATACATTATCATCTCATTTCTCAGTACTTTAGTTTCATTATAAATATAATCGGTAGCAAAATTACAAAAAATTGATTTCAAAACGACTGAAGTATTCATTAGTGACAGGAAATAAGGTTCCTACTCTCAGTGTCTACCCTCCAGATGCAGATAGTGTTGTGTGATAGTTTTGTTATATCTCAAATCAAATAACCTGAAAATTACAAATCCAAAATTAAGTATGCCAATAACAAATAAAGGTGATGAGTATGGAGGTAGTTGAAAACAAAAAAACAAGTTATGAGTGGCAGCAATGGTGGAGCTGCATCCATGCACATCACGAGTGAACAGTGGATGACTAGTATATGAGAACCTGTGGGAGCCAGAGCACAGATATTACCCTGCTACAAACTATAAATACAGTACCCCAAGACAAATATGATTGTGTAAATAATGTGCACAATGTCTCGACTTTCAACACAAAAGGAATATGTTGAATGTTCCTTCCAAAACATCTTGTTTGGAAAAACTACACATATAAATTTCAAACTTCCTAAGTTTACGTTTCCAGCACCTGCATTGCGTTACATCCATTAATTTTACTCCGACTTTCATATCAGGATTATAAGGAACACAATGTGATATATAACTTTAAAGAAAATCCAGGCTTCATTAAAAATATATATATCTAACTTCTATTTTAATGTAGTATTTGAAAGTATACAAGATATCAGTGTTCTTTACACACAAAAAAAAAAAAAAAATATATATATATATATATATATATATATATATATATATATATATATATATATATATATATATATATATATATATATATATATATATATATATATATCGTACCTAATAGCCAGAACGCACTTCTCAGCCTACTATTCAAGGCCCGATTTGCCTAATAAGCCAAGTTTTCATGAATTAATGTTTTTTCGTCTACCTAACCTACCTAACCTAACCTAACCTAGCTTTTTTGGCTACCTAACCTAACCTTACCTATAAAATATAGGTTAGGTTAGGTTAGGTAGGGTTGGTTAGGTTCGGTCATATATCTACGTTAATTTAACTCAAATAAAAAAAAATTGACCTCATAGATAGAGAAAAGGGTTGCTTTATCATTTCATAAGAAAAAATTATAGTAAATATATTAATTCAGGAAAACTTGGCTTATTAGGCAAATCGGGCCTTGAATAGTAGGCTGAGAAGTGAGTTCTGGCTACTAGGTACGACATATATATATATATATATATATATATATATATATATATATATCTCCAAGAAAACATTTGTGCAGTGGGCTTATTTATGTATAGAATCAAAAGCATGGCTGGCACTATGGAAGAACTATTAACTAAAGTACTATTTCTACAAGAAACACAAATTCGGATAATTAAAGAAAATGGAATTCAATTCAGGATGAAAGCTCGACATTATTTATAAAAAAAAAATAACTACATTAAGTACCAACTTCACTATATAAACACCAACTTACCCACATGTGCACTCTCTCTCTCTTGCATATGAATAACAAAGTCACCATATGAATATTTCCACTAAACGAACATTTTTACTGAACTTCAGTACTACCTTCATTGCAGAAATACCAAGGGGGGTAACAAGGCCCCAGAAAACAATGAATTGTAAATTTTCAAAGCACAGTTGCATGCATACAATGTAAGGCACAAACAGCAAACTTGTAGCATTGTAGTTGAAAAGTTCTGATATTGAGCAAACATCACCTTAATTACAAATTGAAATTCAGTAACGTACACTTTTGCCTGAAGCTCTTTGAGGCATTATGAAGTTATCGGTAATAACAACAAGTGCAAGTTCCTACACAGCTTCAAAGTACATTAGCAATACAGTGGATTTCCAGTGCAATAGAAGATTGGATGCAATGGAAGAATTCTATTCCCATTGTAATAGAATGCAAAAAAAATAAATGCCTCCAGACCAGATTTTTATACTGGTAAATGTACAAAATTTAACACTTTATATACAAAATATATATTTTACCAATTGATTTTAATATCAAAATCAAATTTTATATATATACAGTAAAAAAAAAACTTATTTAAAGAAAGGGATCAGGAATCAATCAATCTACTTGAGCAAGAATCCACTGTACACACAATCTGAACACATTAATGTATGTGAATATTTCAGCCAAATCACTTCAGCTTATATGGTCAAATTTTGAATTAAGACTCAAAGAAAAATATAATTAGTTCTTAGAACTTTCATAAAGAAGCACAAAAGTTACAAAATGTGACTACAAATTTTATGATTCTACACTGTATGCTCTACCAGACTGTATATGAGCAAATTATTTGAGGCATTCTCAAATATTGCAGAGGCCTTCCATCTCGATCGAATCACTACAGTATATGGCACAAAAATAGGTGTTAATTAAATTGTTATATGGCCTAATTCTTTGTAAAAATGTCACCTATCAAATGTAGACAGTTCTAAGCTGAGACAATTTTGAAAGAATACCTAGAGTAAAGAATACTCTAAAGAGTATAGTAAAGAATACCTATAACAGACTACAGTATTTCAAAGAAGGCCACCAGAGGCCTCTACCACAACATGAACTCAATCATCCCAATTCGCACATTATGAAATTTATAACTTTAATGAAATTTAAGAAGGGATAAAAATCAAAATGAATAAAACACCTACAAAGATCATATATAAAGAAACAGCATAAAACATCAAGTACTGTAAATTTTTACATTAATTTTGTTTATTATGAAATGTCATTAAATTACACTGCTTAGATGTATTAGTGTAACTAATGACTATTAGCACCATAGTAGACTTACTAGTAATTTGAATACACTGCCAAATTTTTACCTGTATTACATATACGGTATATAAACTTCTAATGAATAACTTTTTTTTTAATGATCTACATATGCATAAAAACAATTCTTTGTACATTTACTATAGTTCTGTTTGCTATGGCATTATATCTACATTCAAAGCACTTATCTATAATCCCAAACCAAAACCATTACTAATTAATTATCTTCCTAACTGAACTAAACCCATTATTACTCTTTTGAAGTACTGCATTTCATGGCTTCATTGTTTATCTTTACATTTGCATAAAGACATTAGAAGAAAATGTATCTTGAAATCGACTTTTAGTACTTTGATAATTAAAAAGCCACATCCTTTTTTTTAATAATTCCATCTTTATGTGAGTTTTGGGAAATGACACCACCATACAAAGTCAGACAAACATACATTCCAGAAGTTATACTGTAACTTCTGGAACACTCAATAAATATTAAGGGTAATTACATATGTACTGACAAATTTTCAACCCTATCTTATCCCTGAAAACATTACTGGTACTGTACTACAAACTGTAAGCTTGTACAATTTTAAATGCAAGTCTGGTACTCCCCCTATACCTAAGCCATCTTGGAACTGTGAGCTTCTAAAGCTATGTCTCCCAGCACTGTGGGAGGGATACTACCTTCCACTATGGCTGCCTCTTACTCCACTCCCAGCACCGTGGGAGGGATACTACCTTCCACTATGGCTGCCTCTTACTCCACTCCCAGCACCGTGGGAGGGATACTACCTTCCACTATGGCTGCCTCTTATTCCACTCCCAACACCGTGGAAGGGATACTACATTCTAATCTCATATTATAATGTGATAAACCCTGAGAAAACTGCAACCATTCCTTACATACATCATGTCTGTAAAAAGAATCTATCATAATAACTCTCATTCACATGGCACTAAATTTTTGTGTATTTCTCCAAGTGACTAAATTTACAACATTTATGCAACTTTCATTGTGCTGCAAAATAACTAGGAAATAGTTTTCACCAAATATGGCACCCACAATAATTAAATGGTACATTAAGACATACTGTATGCACAATAATATCTTGTACAATGAAGTTACTAACAAACAACTTAAGTACACAAACATCTCCTTTATATAAATCTACAAATTACAGATTTACAGATCACACAAACATAAATACTGATAAAAATAAAATGCTTAGGAATCTCTTCGTACATTTATTATGCTCTTCATTATTAATATTTTGATGTGTGATGTACGAGAACTTGCCCCAGCAGAAGTGGCTGGCGGCCATGTCACATCTCATCACACACCATCTAGTCCTCACTAGAATTCATAGCACCTCATCACTCTTTGTGACTGCATTTGTGACACAGATCAGTGTTCAGTTCATAGTTTCCTTCTTCACACAAGACGTGGCATCTTTCCTGAATCACCACTTAACACCAAAATTAACAGCACTTTTCAAAATGAGTAAATATGATTAAATAAATGCACATATCTACTTTTGCATTCTGATTTGAAAATTTCCATTCAAACATTTCTAAATACACTGTAGTTCTAGTGACTTTCATAATTAATTTACTCCACAGGTAAGTGCCAAAATCTATTGCTGTATAAAGACTTATGATTATCCCTTTTCAGCTTATTGTTTTAGACCATATGGCAATTTTGTGTGGTATTTTCACTTTTTTTTCACTTTAGGTTATAACCTTTATTTAGGCTAAATCTCATTACTATGAAGGCACTGTACCAGCTGTCATACTGGGATCAGCAGTGATGTGAGCAACACATGCTGATGCAGTAGCATCTTAGTGTAGTGTGAGAGCATCTGATGTGAGAGATGAATCACAGCTGGTAGGTGGTGTATCCACGTGAGGCATAGACAGGTTTAGGTACTCCTGAAATCAAAAGTTTAGATTTGATAGGAATTACTAGTAATCATTTCTTTGCTAAGTGAAATCTTTCATTTAACAGTTATCTTTTTATGTAATTTAACTAGGTGAAAATATATTTTCAGCTTAATGAAAATAAAGTAATGCAGGTAAAATCTTTTCCATACCGTCAAAAATACCAGTGCACCCAACACTATGAAAGACTGTACTGCACATGTTAACTTACCACATACAGTACATACAAATATTGACTTGACATGACATCATTAAAAGAAAAATTAAAGCTAGAACACTTCATGCATTTAAAATCTTTTCAAATGTAAAGTCTCTGAGAAAATACATGAAACAAATGCACAGGAGTTTAAGTAAAATATTAATGTGCAGAGATTAAGGATAAAGTAAGAAGAGAGGAAAACCATGACATACACACATTAATACTATCAAGAAGTAGGGGAGGCATTGGCCCTGAGAAAATAGGTGACTAATATGGTTCTTGTTATCTGGCTTTTATACACTTTACTGAGAAGATATAATGCATGGACGAGAAATATTTTTAATACATGTATTAAAAAATTAGTGGTGCTCAGCTTTGATTTATCTGTGTTAATGCCTCTTTGCCACAAGGAAGTGGAAAACAAGGCAACAATACAAATACAGTATGTATTCTGAATAGTGAAATGTGGCTATAGTTCAGACAACTTGACATCAAACGACCTTGGTATGTTCTCAATCTTGTAGCAAACCACATTTCTCACTGACCATTTCCTTCTCTACTTTATCTATTCTAACACAACATGTGCTGCTTCCCAGAGTGTCTGTTTCTGCTGATCTAATTCTCGATTGTTTTGTTCATACCACACCATTGTTTTGCAACCATAGTCTGCACTACTCTACTACTACTTCATGCATACTTCTAGCTAAATCTATTCCTTTTTGTTGTGACTAACTAGGGCTTTATTTGGACTTGCCATTTTCCTTGCTTAACTTAACTCAACTCTCAGCTTCATTTGCACAAATTCCTATCTTACAAATCACACATCCCAGGTCCATAAACTCATCAACCCATTCTAGTACTGTGCATCTCCATTTGCATTTAGTGGTAAGACATTCTCCTCTCATTTCGCGAGTGATTTGGTCTGGATACGTATCCTGGCCGGGGAGGATTGACTGGGCACCAATCCTTAACTGTATGCCTCTGTTCACCCAGTAGTGAATGGGTACCTCATTGTTAAATAATTTGGCGGGTCGTATTCCAGGAAAAATTAAGATTAAGGACCTGCCCGAAACTAAGCGTGCTAGTGGGTTTGCAAGAATGTAACAATTGCACAGTATATATAAATAAATAAAAAATGTAACAAATATATTTAAATTTACCATAATTGCACTTGATTAACATTCTCTTTCAACAAGAGTCTCTGTTCACACAATGAAACTATAAACTAGTTTATATAAACCACATGCTGCTACTAAGTATTGTAAGTATAGTGATCACTGAGTGATGTGTGTAGAGAGGGAACACTTATCACTAAGAGGAAAGCCATGCCTGTAATTTTTGCTCTAAATAAAAGAATCTCACTGTAGTTCTGCATTTCAGAATCATAATACAGAGGAACCTCGATATTTGCACGTTTGCTCGGCATTCAGACAAATACACGTCCATGACACTTCAGTTTCACCATAGCTGTCATTCAGTGCACAACCCCCTGCACTTTTCTCTTGGATATTTTATATATTCTTAGTGTAAATAAGTCACCATGTCACCTAAGAAAATTTGTGATAAGGGCCAAGCAAAAATAAAGATACTGTAATTAGAACCACAATAGAGATGAAAAAAGAACTCATAGCTAAATGCGAAAGTGGTGCCCGTGTGTTTGCTCTTGTTACCGAGTTAGGTATGCCTAAATCTAGTTCTTTAATAAAAGAAATGTGTGCAAGAGGGGGGAAAAAGTGCAAAGTCTTATTGAAAATATCACCCTGACAAAGTTGTGACAAACCGTGTTACAAACCTGTTGAATAACAATGCTATGTCTCACTTTAGAAACCTTTTTAAGTGCAGGCAAAAAAATCATCCTTGTACAAGTTTCTTGTATGAAAAGCATCTAGCGAGTCTAATGAGGAAAACAGAAAGACAGAAAAGGAGAAAGAACCCCAGAAGCACAACTACCAGAAGTTATAATGGTAGGGGGACTTTTCTGCCAAAGAATAACAACTCTTCCTCTGCCTTACCACCTTCCACATGTGCCATCAACTCTCCTAAGTGATGGTAAAGTGTGTAATGTGTTAGCATTTATTTCATTTAATTATTAATATATTTATCTTTGTGGTCGGGAATGGATTAATCCAATTTGCATTACAGTATTTCTTATGGGAAAAATTGTGCGGTATTCACACTTTTCAACATGCATCCCACCTTCAGGAACCAATAAAATCTGAATACAGAGGTTCCACTGTATACATATTTATATGACTCCCTACAATACAATAAGAAAATACAGTTTTCACAAAACATTTATGAATAATATGTAAGAATGGTCTGAAAATCAGAAATATACCAACAATAAAGCATGGCAGGGCAAGGCAATATCTTGCATGTTACTAATATTGATTAATATTAACACAACAATCATAATGCTTAATATCAAGCTCAATTCTATAATCAATATCCAGCTGCTATGAACCATGCATATTGGATACGGTGAAATGAACTACAGTAAAATGAAATGAACAGTGAAGTACAAAATTTGCAAGAATACTGGTGAAGTGAAAACACCAGTTTTCATATAATAGGACCGGGCCGCAGAGACGCTAAGCCCCAAAATCATCTTCAAGATAATCAAATCATCTCAAGATAACCCACAATTCTCTTAATTTTTTAAAGATTAAATCTAGTGTTTCTATATACCTATTTTATACTTCTAATAATTTAGGAGAGAACAATATAAATCATTTGTGTTGTTTTAAATTAGTTTTACAAATGAAAAATTATATTCTTAAAAACTTAGTGGGCAAAAACTTACAGCAGTTGAAGATAGTGTGAGAATTTGGTCGAGGTCTTCAACAAGTTTCTTGAAAGTTGGACGTTGCATTGCCTGACCTTTCCAACAATTCCTCATGAGCAAGTAACTATGGAAAAATAATACATGTATCAAGTGAATGCAACAACCTATAGTAAACATATATACAGAAAATAGCAGGGGTGAATGACTACACATGCAGAGCATTTATGTATGGCTCGATGTGTAATTTACATAACTCAGTCGGTCAGTTATACGAGGCATTATCTGCATGTGCATATAAAAATAGCATTCAAAACAACAAGGTTTTTGTTCTTTCTATATACAGTAGTTAAAAACCATGCACTGAGCATAGGAACAATGTCCCAAAAACTTTCATTCACTTTTCAAAATGGCAGATGTTTCTGAAGCTCTCAAATACTGTACCAATTAAGAACACCGCATACAAACACGGGTTTCAAATGTTGCAAAATGCCTAAAACATCTGTGGATGTATGTACTCCCATGGGTCAAGCATCTGAGGATGTATGTACTCCCATGGGTCAAACATCTGAGGATGTATCTACTCCCATGGGTCAAACATCTGAGGATGTATGTACTCCCAAGGGTCAAACATCTGAGAATAGCATGTGCACTTCAGGGTTAAGCAGTGCTGAGAGGTGCCAGTAACTGGATGCACAATTGCACAAACTTCCAGCTAATTCCACCTGTTTAACCACACCACATCTCTAGGGTACTGTTGTCTGTATTTTGAGCATAGTGATGTTCCACACATTTCACTGTAAATATTCCTAAAATTACACACTATTGAATAATATTACTATAAAAAACAAGGTAAAGAACATTGAAATAATTATGTAAAAATATACTTGCAGCAGCGCATGCCACACGGAATCACCTGGGTGCTAGGCTGACATAGTATCATGGTTAGAAGACCTGCTTAGTGGTCCATTATGGTGCACAATATAGTTCTATATAATGTGTGCACGCACATATAGTATAATAAGAGCAAAAATTTTTTTATTAGTCTAAGAATATATCAATATACTTTATGGATCTAATATACTTTTCACTAGATATGAGCACTATATTTTTTTGCAAAGCAATGTCACACACATTTAACTATATAAATTCCTCAAATTACACACTACTGTACTGAATAATATTACTGCAAAAAAAAACCATACAAAATCAAATATATTGAATTAATTATGTAAAAATGTATTTGCAGCAGCCACCCCCCCCCCCCCCCCCCCCCCCCACACACACTGCTGGGCTGGACCACATCACCACCGACCAGTACTGTGTCCGTGCCAGAATACTGCCACACTTTCCCGCCTCATCACGGCCAAAGTACAGTATGTCACATACAATATTTTTTTTTTTCCCCTTTATCAAGGAACACATTTTTACCAATATTAGAATGAACAATTTTGAGGGAAACTTTTTTATTCTGCACGCCAAAGACTTCTCATATTTAATAGCAGTGCAGCAGAGTGCTTAACACCAGAGGTTCAGCACAATCTTGCCTTCAGAGAGCAAATATATGGAGCACCTCAATTTAAATTACCTGAATACTTAGGATGTGGGCTACTAGTTAGATGAATGCATACTTTTCAGCAATGCAGGAGATATATTAACTGTGCTATTAGAACTTGTAACTCATCTTTACAACATGTTGTCAGCCTTTGCAAAGCCATAAGGTGTGTTCTGAGAAAACTTCAGCCTGTGATTTTGTAAGTATCCACCTCAAATGCTACATGGGCAAACACTTATCATTTCCTAGTAACACTTATGCTGTATAAATGTAGAGATATAAATCAATGGTAACACTTCATAATACTGGAATAAATTCTGGTAACACTTAACTTCTTAGTCCCAGGTATAATGTGCTTTATGATGCAGATCTATACACTAACAAATGATAAATATATATTGGTACAACTGACAGTGAAGAATGCTTGGAATGTACTATGATGTAAGAACAACAACAAAAATAAAAATCTGCATCTACTTGCTGGTAGCAAACCCCCCATACATGTATAGTGTAATGAAGGGTGTATAAAGTTTAGCTTTTGTTGTTTGATTGATATACAAAGTCTAGCTTTTGTTATTATTAATCTAATTTTGTTCTCTTAGTTTGTTTTACTGGGTTTTTTTTTCTTTTTAATTTTTAAGTTTCATTTGTTAGTGTTTCTAAGTACAGTACGTTGAATTTTGTATGAGAATATTCATGCTTGTGTCTATTCACCTAGTTGTGCTTGTGGGGGTTGAGCTCTGCTCTTTCGGCCCGCCTCTCAACTGTTGATCAATCAACTGTTACTAGCTACTATTCCCCCCCCCCCTCACCACATACACAGTCCCTCAGGAAGCAGCCTGTAACAACTGTCTAACTCCCAGGTTAAACTGCAAGGTAACAGGGGCATTAGGGTGAAATAAACTCTGCCCATTTGTCTCTGCCTAGTCTGGGAATTGAACTCGGGCCACAGGATTACGAGTTCCACGCGCTGTCCACTCAGCTACCAGACCCCTTGTGTGTGTGTGTGTGTGAAGTTTTTCCTGTGTGTTTTCATAAGGGTAGAGGCCCTACACCCACATGATGTGAGGTGTCCACCTCACTGTGTGAGGTCATTTACCTCAGTTATCCTAATGTAACTTGAGTACAATTATCCATCTGGTGAGTGAGAAGTTATTTACCATTGTATTATGTCCCATTCACTGTGTCCTGTAATAAATGTTATGCACGCACTCTGTTTGTTTATTCAAGTCCCGCCACTTCAAAATATTGTGCCGGCCCGAGTGTTCACTCGTGTTTGAGGTACTCGAACAGCTGAAATTAGTTCTCTCTCTCTAAATAAAATTTTTCATTTGTTCAGCTGAAATTAGTGCTCTCTCCTGATAATTAACTTAGTAAAAGTACCTTCAAAATGTAGTCTAAAGACAATAGCAAACTTATGAAAGTTGAATATCAGAAAAGCACAAAGATATAATATCAAAAAAAAAGATGACACTTACATTTCAATTGGACAATTTGAAGGTTTTTCCATTCTGTGTCCCTCTCGCAACAGCTGGAAAAGCTTTTCAACCCCTGGCACTGCTGGGTAGGGTGTTCCTCCCAGTGTCATGATCTCCCATAACAGGATACCAAATGACCATCTGAAGTGTTAACAACTTGTTACTTATAAAAATAATTACAAAAATACACAAACCTTATGTACTGTACAGTACTGTTCTAAACAAATATTTTAGTTGTACTGCATTTTCAAAGATCAACAACCAATTATGGAACTATTTTTATTGCATGTGTGAAAATATGGAATGTAGAAATAAAGATTGAATGTATTCCAACACTCACACATCTGACTGTGATGTATAAACTCTGTGGAAGAGTGCCTCTGGAGCCATCCATTTAACAGGCAGTCTCCCTTCACTTGTCTTTCGGTAATAATCCTGGCTGTGTATGTCTCGTGCCAGACCAAAGTCTGCAATTTTCATGATGCGATCTTCACTGACTAGAACATTGCGCGCAGCAAGGTCACGGTGGATGCACTGTCAAAAGAGAACAAACATGATTTCTGATTTAACATATGGTTCTTAATCTTGATACTTAAACAACTTTAAGAAACATCCATATGGTTCAATCACATGATGAACAACAAAGGTCTCATCAGGCCAACCAATATAATATGAGCATGAGGAGGAGGGGGGGATTTAATAAGTGCTGAGGGTGAAATAACAACAAAGAGCATAACAAGTAGGATGCTAATCATATATAGCCTTGCTATATATGATTAGTCATATCAATATGGTTCTTGAGGGATGGTACAATGTCTTGACTCAATAGATACAATACAGATGGTCAAGAGGCCCTAACACTTCTTGCAATGCTCTTCCACAACATCCTGTGTGCACATGCACTCACATTGCCCTCCCATCTTCTGTCTTCAACCTCCTCCCTCTTCCCTCCTCCTCCTTTCAAATTAACCACACTATCTTTTTAAATTCACCTTCTCATAAGATGAATAAGTCAATAAATCTCACCTTTCTTGATGCCAAGTATTCCATGCCCCGTGCTACTTGATACGCAAAGCTGACCAAATCTTTTTGTGAAATTGTGTCTGGTTCTTGGCCAATTGCTCGTTCATAGCCAGAAGATGGCCTGTTGTTGCGAAGATAATCACGAAGATTACCATGTGCTGCATACTCAACAACAACATAAAGAGGGCCGTCTTGTGTACAGCAACCAAGCAAGTTAATGATGTTGATATGGGTTCCAATCATCTTCATCATTTCCATCTCTGATACCAAGTCCATGAGTTCAGAATCTGTGTGACCCTCTGCCAAATGAAGGTTAAATATTTAATTTTATAAAATATACTTTTTTTTATAATACAATCTTTAAAAAGTATTCAATAAAACAACAAATCTTTTTGAAGAATATATACTTTACATTCTTCAATTCAGTGTCGATATGACAGCCACAGATTTGAGGCAGATAAAATTCTAAAATTAATTATGCTCAAACAACAAAAGTATGGAAGGAGCTCTTACCCTTCAACATTTTCACTGCTACAGTTGTATTCATATCTGGTCTGAGAAAACCTTGGACTTCAGCTCTCACAACTTTTCCAAAGGCACCTTCTCCCAGAGACTCTCCCATTAACAATCTTGAGCGTGGTAACTCCCAAGGTGCATCCAAAGGTAATTCATATTCTGATATGCTTGTCATTTCGGAGCCTAGACGTGATGTAGACTGACAACGTTCAATTTTTATTGTGGGAACAAGAAGAGGTTCCTGTGAAGCATCCGAGTTCTGACGTTCTACAATAACCTATAGAAACAAAAAGTAACAAAATTCAAATTTTCTGGGACATTGTTATACTATAGGAGAATAATAATACTAATAATAATAGTATGGAAGTGTAGTAACATAGTAATATAGCAATATAGCAGTACAGTAGTAGTAATACAATACTAATAATAATAATAATACAATAATATTTTACTTTTGCAAAAGTACATACATATGATACATGAACAGTGTACAATTCATAGGTTAAAAAGTTCAGAATGTAAGGCCACTAATATGCAGTATTTTGAGCATAAAAATAATTAGAAGCATAATATATAAAACCAACAGAAGTACAGTTTTTAATCTCATTAGGGAGGTCATGTCACAATTTATGATCCTTGATTTGCAGAGCACATCTGCTTTGATGTGCATATCTGCCATTCCATACTCTCGGAATATTAAAAAGATAGTTATTTCTCATATGGTGCCCCATGAGTTCTGTTACAACCCCCTAGGAAGTACTTAAGGTTAGGATTAGCATTGCTGTTCAGAGTATTATAGATATAGAGAACACTTGAGAGGATGTTCGGTGACTTGATAATTTAACAAATTCATAGATTTCAGTCACATGCATTCTGGGACTGGAGTTTTGTTATTACTCTGATCACTGATTATGTCAAGTAACTAGGGGGGTAGAAGGTAATCCTGAGGCAGATACCATAGGCGAGATATGAATAGATCAGCAAATAATAATGTTACCAAGGCAGGGTGAGGTACATTATTCACAGAATGCCTACTGTTTCAGATTTTTTTTACCTGTATTGTTAATATGACAATGGAAATTGCTATCAATGTTATCTGTAATCAATGTGTGCACCAAGGAATTTCCCATCTTCTCTGCTCTTAATTTGGGTTGTGTTAATCTGATTGATGAACTTTTTACTAAACAATATATAAACTGTTTTATCTGTATTAAGGGTTACCTGTCAGCCACAGATGGGCTTTTTTTTTTTATTTAGTATTCACTGTGCTAAAATAAGTTGTTTAGCATTGGAGAAAATGAAAGTTGTGTCACCATCAAATTGATAATTGAAGATCATTGATGTAAATGATAAAGAAGGAGTGGACCAAGTGCACTACCCTGTGCAATGTAGACGTTGAGTCACAAAAACTTGGCCGAAGATGTGATGACCAAACCACATACCTTCATCTTCTGGTGTGTGGTTTGGTCATCATACCCTGTGGAATGCCAATATTAATTGGCAGAGTAAGAGAAGTAACATCATTCACAAAAAACACTAGTGCCTGCCATCGAGATATGATATCAAGTACTGAAGGGAGTGTCCTCTAGCTCCAAAGTGTTGAAGTTTGAGAATTTTATTGTAGTTAATGGTCTCAAAAACCTTACGCATGTCAGCAAATAAGCTTATGGAGTACTCACTTTTGTCAGGAACTACATGTATCATGTCAGGCTTGTTAATTAGAGCATCATTGGTGCATTTTGGGGGTCTGAATCTATACTGACAAGAAGTACATATATATTATGTGTAGCTAATTGGAGTTGGAGCTGTTTGTACATTAGATTTCAAATATTTTGGACAAGGTGGGCAGGATTAATATTGGTCTAAAATTGTGTGATTTTGATGAGATCACCACTTTTAATGGACAGGATTATTTTTTTAGCCTTTTTTTAGAATATCAGGGAAGATTTGGAGTGGGGGAAGGTTTGGAGTTCAAGTGATTTGTTGTAGAGTAATGCTATGGACAGTGCTCAATACCTAGCAGCTTTTTTATAAATTAGAGTTGGCATCTCAGAAAGTTTACTTCATTTAGTTTTAAATGAGAGGACTGTATCATTAACATCTGAGGAATTTGTTGGGAATAGGTACAAAGACTAGACAGATGCCTGTGAAGGAGTAATTTACATTCGTTACGGATGCTGGGATTTAATTTGCATGGGATGTGCCAATGTATGATAACTATTGAATTTAGTATCAGTGTCAGTGGATGATATCATTCCATCGTATATTGCCAAGGAATGTTGGTTTCTTATTCAAGTTCTTCTTGGATCCTGATATCTGGGAAAGTGTTCCATTTTTTCATGTTAACTTATTTCATTAAATTTATATTTATAGTAGATTGTATTGGTTCTTATTGTTATCTTAAATAGCAGACACTAAGACAATTCTTTGGAAATGACCCCCCCCCCCCCATCAGATACTTCTCATATTCATGCTTTTTAAAGATAGACTTAAGTATTCCTTTAGTAAGTTATGGGCTGTTCATCCTTTTGGTGGCGATTTGTTTTGTTAGCATTAGACAGTATCTCTGGTGGATTTTGGACTTAGATTATTGTATCCAAGCATGGAGACCTCATCTTCTAAAAGAAATATATACAACAACCCATGTCTGCTATTTTTAAACAATGCTGTTTGTCAACCAAATTGTATTTTTGCCATTTTTTTGCCATGTTCTCCCCTTTTTTTTATATTTTCTCACATTTTATACTTTAATCTCAATTAGTATTAAGTTTTAGTCTTTAGTGTTTTTCCTGCCCGAAACGCTTTGCGTAATAGTGGCTTTAGGCATTGTATGTACTAACTCTATCTATAAATCCATCAATATTTGTAACACACTTTGTATGTATGTACTTTACCTGAATAAACATTTGAATTTGAATTTTTTTTTAATATCTGCTTTGGAGACAGTTCAACACCAGGTGACAAAAATCATTCAAGAATGAAGTTGATTCTCATAATACAAATGGTTAAGGACCACAGGACTATCAACACTGCAAACCTGACATGACAGGGCTGATCTCATTTAATTAAAAAAAAATACTGAAAAATTTGGAGGATATTGGTAACAACTTCTTTAAAAGGTCAGATTAACACAAAAAGGAGCAACAGGTTCAAGGTCAACAAGCCATAATGTAGGATGGAAAACAGGTGATGCTTTTTCACCCATGGAACCACCTAATCACCGCAGCTGTGAATGCTAAAACTCCGCCAAATTTCAAAATCCAGCTCCATAAAATCATCATGACAAATGAGGGAACAAGGGTGGAACAAGTTGCCGGCTAATAAAAGCCACTAGAGAGATAGTGGCACTCAGGTAAATTTAGGTAAATTATAGAAACTTAATTTTTGTAAAGAAATGCTTGCACACCTTGGTTGATATTCGCCATATTACCGACGTCAGTCTCCCTTCATTTTACCTGCAGCAGCAACAAAGTTGCTTATGGAAATTTCAGCATACTTTAGACTGCTAAAGATTAGCATTAGACTGTATATAGTCTAAAGCTGGTGTAATAATGCTTGTTAGAAGAAATGTGACCTATAGTCCCATCAGTGAATATCCCTGAAATTGGTGGAGAGGTCCTAAGGTGATCAAAAGTACAGGCAGTCACTTCAACAATTCTGATAAATTTAGTGATGATGTATTAGAATGCAGAGTTAATACAGTTGAGAAAAGACTCTTCCTGAATCCTGATGGGCACATGTACAAGTGAGTAGACAGCAGAGCTGCACACAACATGATAATGGTCCAGGGCGGACCAAAACATCGTTGCTTCTCCTGACTTGAGGTTTGGTCATCAAATATACCGTGCTATGGGTTGCAAGTAGACAATTCTGTGTGTATTGAAGTAACCACACTATTCATGAGGGTAGCATATCATTATGTAAACAATATGTAAAATGTTGTAGTCACTAAAATCATCATTCTTGATTATGTGATGATCAAGGGTGACCCATGATCCACTGTCAGAGGTTGAACTATTTGGTTGACAGAGTCCGAGTGCATGGAGGAATTGTGTGAAACCCCGGTTAGGCTTCAGTGGAAGTCTCGGGATTCTCGTGGGGACAGTAGCACTCCAGGTTGCAAGGCCCTCATCAAGGCCCTTGTGGGTTTGTTCATTTAATATATCACGTTATTGTGATTTGTGTGTGTAGTAAATTATTGTTGTTGCCGTTACGTATATTTTGGCTCATGATCACATGCTAGAACTATTGTTATTCTGCACCTAAAACTGTAAGAGCATCAGAATAAATATATACTATACTATATTCGGCAAACAAATTTGAGTTTTTGCTTACCTTTTTGATCCACTGCTGTGAAATAGCCTCCTTGGCACGTTCCAGCTCTTTGGCGCGTCGCTTTTCATTTTGCCATTTCTTCCAGACAAAGGAAGCCATGATGCTAGCAATTACCATAACAGAAAGTAAAACTACTCCGAGAACGAGAATAGTGTGAGACTCGGCATCTGCAAGGATTGGCTCCGCTGAAAAATGACAGTAAAACTTAAGCACTACCACCACCAAAAATAGAAATAACATTGTGTACACCGAAAGAAATTACTGAACCTTTTACTACTATGGCCATTTACATACACTATTAATGAACAAATGCAGGTTTTTAGGTAAACCATAATTTGTCTGGTTTTGAAATATTTTCTGCAACCTGGCTTCCTTCAATCAAGAGAGCCAGTGACTGAGCAAAATATAGCCTCCCATTCAGGTGACATCTACTGTACAATCTACCTCTATTTTGCTCCTCTTTATCCTCTCCGTTTCTGCTATACTGTATAATGATAAGCAGACTCGCATCAACTTACACGATATACTGTATTGGTCTTTCACTTGTTTCCCTTCTATCTTCACCTAGCTTGGCGGGTCTTTGACGACCTCTATAATAGTGACTGTTTCCTGAGCCTCTCATCATATACCTACTTTCCCCTCCTCCCTCCCTCTCTCACCCCTCCCTAACTCTCTAGTTCTCTCTCCCTTTCCCTCGTTCCTCGGGTCGTTTGTGCACCCAAGAGCGAGTGTCTCCCCTTCCCAGATCTAAGGATCTCAGATATCTAGAAGGATATTCGAACAATTGTAGACAAGTTTGTTCCTAGCAGAGCACCTATCCTTCAATCATGTTAGTTTTGTTAGTTTTGTTGCCATGTTAGTTTTAACACAAACAAGCTACATTCATACTGCTTGGTCACTAACAAGGGTTCTCGCATACATCCCAACTTCCTTGCCCAAAAGTCTCCACACCTGTGTGGCTCTTGGACTTTAGCAAGTGCCTCCATAAACTTACAATAATTCCTTCACTCTTACAAGCTTCAGTTCGCTCTGTCCCTATGCCACTACACAGCAGCAAGGTCCAATGGTATTTGTTATTAGGTGTTCTGCCAGCTTCCACCTACCACGTAGGTGGAGACAATAGCACTTTGCTATATCTATTGTGTATTCTCAACTAAAATTTAGATACTGGATAGGTTCCCAAGGCCCTGTTCAAGTCAGTTGTCCTCTCTACAATATTAAGAAATCTAAAAAGCAGGGCACTTCCTGGGATTTTTGCCATATCACCCCTGAGAAGTTGCATCTATGTTTTCGAACACAGGGCTAACATGCACATTTTGTGGTTTTTAGAGCATAATCATTGCCCCTTTCTCTTTCAATATGACTTTTGCAAGTGACACAGCACAGAACACCTAATGAATCTGTAGGTATACAGCATATCCATTGTGCCTCTTTCAATAATAACTCTGCGGTCAAAGCTGTACTTTTTGATCTGGAGAATGCTTATGATAATGCCCAGAGATATAATATATTGGTCCAATTGCATTCTCTAGGCCTCCAGAGAATTTGTCAATCTTCTTGCAGAACTTCCTCTCCAGTCTTATGTTTTAAGATCATCCTGGGATTGTTCTCTCTCATCAATGCCTTCAATAAAAAGGCATTACCAGGATAGTTTTTTTAGCACTACTCTCTTCCTTGTTGTGCTTAACAGTTTTTCTTCCTCCCTCCTGCCTTGCATTTACTCAGATTTATGTTGCCAACCTCATCATTTGCTGCAGCATTATTGATTTCTCCCTCTTTCCATGCTGGCTCCCGTTTATGATTGATAACTTATCCTGGGGTACCAGAAATGGCACCAGGTTTTCTCTGTTGAAAACCTGAGCTATGACTTATTAAATGGCACTTTTATTTCCCCTTCCTTGTTTGTCACCGAGTCATCTTGTGTATACAAATGCTGTAGTGCAAAGTTCTTGGGGCTGATCTGCCTCTCTTTGTTATCTCCTGTCTTTTACCTTTGAATCAAGTGCTCCAACCCATCACACATCTCCTGGGGAAGCGGACAAGACAAAAACACTTTGATTTCCATTTTTCCCTAGTACAGTACTGTCTAAACTGGATTATGGTTTTCCAGCATTTTCATTGACTTTGCTCTTGACCCTCTGTAATCTTGACTCGTTGCATTACACTGAGTAACACCTTGGCTCTGGATCCTTTCATTCATACTCAGTAGAGTTTACATGTAAAAACCAGTGTTCCATCACTGCTTGATCATCTTAATCAATACTTCACACTGTCCAATCTTGCTTGTGCCATGCTTTGACTGTAACCCCTGTTGTGTTCCCAATTCCCTCTCTCTTATGGTCTTTTACTGCAAGAATATTAATCCAGAGCACTTCTTTGAAAGGTCAAACGTAATACATACAAGGAGCAATGGTATCAAGCTCAACAAGCCAAAACATTGCTGCTGTTTGAAATCCAGCTGGATAAAAACACCAGGATAAAATGAGGGAACCTTTGACAAGCCCTTCATGTAGTTCCTATCTTGCCACCTTTGAGGGTCCCACTGATGGAATTTTGTAAAGCCCCGACTCAAATAGTGCAAGCTTATACCCCCTCCTACAGTCATGAAATGGCTATGGCTATAACATTTTCATTGCTACTCATGCTCTACTATTCTATTTATGAATGAGGCAAAATTTGTCAATGGCATTTGCTTCACCATTATATATATATATATTTTTTTTATCAAACATGTATGTGCCACCTTTTCCCAGATTTAAGTATTTTCAGGAAAGAGCTTTACATTCTGTATGCTCTCAATCGATTACTCTTTATTTACAAGCATTCTTTTCTTATTGTGGCTGATTTCTGCGGTGCCATAATAGCCTTGGAGGTTTTTACCCTTTCCATCTCATGGTCACTGAAATCAAATACTGAATTTTACTAATCATTAAGAGGTATTAAACAGTTGAATTTTCTTAGGTCCCCAGTCACTATGCTGTTGACATTAATGACTTTGTAGATGCTACTGCTAAGAAAGTCATTTGTGCTGGTCCCATTCTCTCAGAAACACATTCTCTCAGAAATAGGATTTACTCTGATTTCTACCCCGTCATTTGTAATACAATCTACAACCATTGGAAAGATAGATATTCATGCCTTATAAATAAACTGTGTACTATTAAATTTGGCTCTAACTGTTACTTATCCACCACATATGTTTTCAAGAGAACTTTCCCTATGCTGCGAGGACAGCACAGGGACGAGGACAGCCATGACATGTAGAACAATGTCCATTATTTTATCAAGAGTGCGACTGATAATACAAGCTCTGTCCCATGGGCACTTAACGAAAGAACACCCTGTGTCTTATTGTCCAAACTTACAATCATGTATTTCCTCAAAATATCCTGATTTTCAAGATGATTAGAGATCTTGCTTTCCTGATATCCCATTGAATCACTTTTATCTATATGAAATCCTCATTGAATCTTGTACCTTTGGCATCACTTGTCTTGTCAATTTGCTCTTGTATTGAATGGTATCGAAGACTTTGACTGTTCAATACCACAGATGGTACTAAATGGATTTCAGTAGTGGTATTTTTTAAAGATAATTACTTGCATATTTTGTGCTACATATACTAGTACATCACTACTCACAGCTAAACATACAAGTTCTCAAATGTTATGAGATTTTCAACAATATATGAAATTTGATTGGATGTCCTCAACAAGAGCATAACTCAAACAAAATTTTAAACAGGACTGCTCTTGTTCATATTTATTATGTTTGGCACCCCCTTACTCTCTCAATACAGTGGAACTTCGATTCAACAAACCTTAATTTGGCGAATCTCTAGTTAAAACGTACACTTTCCAGGCCGGTTTTACTCACCCAATTCCACAAACTCTTGTTTGCTGAAGCGGGGGATGTACAGATTTGCTTAGGATCTTGGAACAGAATTCACAGACTGGTCGAAAACTTACCCATCATATCACAGGTTAAAAAATTGAAGATTTCCTTAGAGAAATCAGCTCATAGTGTGTGGAAAATATTAGAGGTATGAATGGTAACTGCTAATATCGCTCCAATCACATTTTTAATGATTATTGTAGATGGGTACAACATTAGAAGAAAGAGTTGGGGCCTTGGGAAAGTCAACGAGCACATTTAAAATCAAATTCTATGTTTTTCGTTATAAGATTTTTCTGTTTGTGTTCACAAACCTCTTCCTGGAGACATCTTCGGACGCAATGAATCCCTCACCACAACAAATTAAGGTTGGCCACATATAGCTTGTTGAGTTGAGGTTGCACTGTATTAGCCAAACTCAGGCCACCCAACTATCACTGTCCTTTCCTTACACTGTATACATGTGGTTCACCTGTGGCAAATTTTTATGTTTTCTACTGCCACAGCTTGCATTCAAGTTTCAGCAATATTTCATATATTTATTGCTAGGTGTGAAGTCAAATTTTGCACCTTCATTAAATGATTTGTAAAATTTGCTCATCTTCTGCTGATCCTGCTCATAATTCTTGGTCCACCAACAAAACCATATCTATTAAATTATGGAATTTAATGTACATGTGTCCTACCACAACGTTCCTTCACTGTGTGTGTGAAGGTGAAAAATAATTAGTTAGTCGTTAGTTACAGTTAATTAATTGATAATTGAGAGGCGGGCCAAAAAAGCAGAGTTCAACCCCCCCAAACACAACTAGGTGAATACACAATTCCCAACTCTTAGTGACAGAGTCACCATTCCATTCACTCATTTTTCTTTATACAAACGTGACCATGCTAATTACCCTCTGAAAAACAACCTTGAAATAACCTTAAAAATGACCATTACCCTCTGAAAAAATAAAACACATTTGAGATACTTACCATCGGTAACATTTAGGTAGGCTGTTGATGAGGAAGTTCCAAGGCTGTTTGCAGCAATGCAGGTATACCAGCCAGCATCTTTCTCTGTTACATTGGTCAGCACCAACACTTGAGGATCCTCTGTGCTTGTTATATTTCCACCTTCCTAAAATTGAAAACTGTCAATATTGCATATGGTTATGTGTACACTTAAGGCTTAGGCTTACAGAAGTGTTACACTTTAAGTTTAGATTTATACAAATTATTTCAATCGAGGAAAAATTTCAGTGATTCAGGAATTACTGCTGTATAACAGTAATTCCGAAGGGCCCAACATGTCTTAAGACTCCTGTGGGTGTTATTCGTTTAAGGTTTGTTATAATTTTAATGTATGCTAATACTTTATATCAAATTATAAGGACTTTTATGTTCAGAACTGTTGACTTTTACTAAATTATTTTTTTACAACATATTATGCACATCTTTCTTTTAATTAACATTAATTTAAATAAGTTTGTTGACATGCCTACAAAATTATAAAGTCTAAAATTAACTAATACTACATTATGCTCTCTCTCTCTCAATTACTAGAGTACAACTGGAATTAACACTTATAACATACTTTTACATTTAACACACACGAGAACATCACAGTGCAGAACATGACATTAAGGAAGCCAGAACACAAATGTCAGACGGCAACCCATCTTCAGCAATGATGGTACATATAGTGTCTGCAACACAGTATCAAATATGACCAATGAAAAGTTGAGTAAAAGACAATGTAAGGAAAAAAGCTCACTTACCTTGGCCCAATAAAAAATATCCTAGACCAAACAGTGCATTTATGCACTATATTAGGTTTAGGACATGTCTAGTTAGGCCAAGGATATGTTTGGCAGTGCTTATGAAGGTTAAGCTATTGATTTTAGTTTTATTATTATATGTACAGTGTACTGTCATTGTGGAGGATAGGTAGGCTGGAGAGATGCTAATTTCAATATTAATTAAGAAATTCATGCAAACTAAATTGTACTGATACTAAGCAATTAATTGCTGCCACCTACCCATGCAAAATGTAATTATATTATAATGTATTTTGTTGCCGCTATTTTTCAAAGCCTTTCAATTTTAGTCCAATGTAAAGATTTCATGCTTGATTATCATGCACAGTATTAGTAATGGATATCACAACATGCTGAGTATACGCTGGATACATCATGTTTGGGTCCCTCTGAGGAGGTCCTGCCACAAACACCTGTTGTGCCGTATAGCTTAACATGTTACTATTACATAAATAAAACTGATGACCATGCATATTTTAGCAAATTCATTTTTCATCAGCATCACTACCAAGTGTTAGCTCCATTTCACAGCGATTCCACACATGATGCTTAATTATAGTGTATAAATCTGACCTGGCCTTTTATCGCAGCCAAAAGAATTTCCATATCTATTATGATTTCAGAGGAATCTCGAGAATCAGAGTCTGACCAAGAGAAAGGCAAATCTTTTCTCCACACAATATAAGGAATTAGAGTATTTTCTGTCCAGATGTCCACCTCAAAGCGCACCGTACCGCCTCGAACTACAGTCACATTTTCCAGGTGCTTGGTGAAGATTGGCCTTGAAGGGATGTGTTCTACAGCATAAGGAGCAAGAAGGAATCACAATTAGTATGACTTAAAGGCCTATGAATAAAATCCATGCAGAGTAAAGTGAGTAGTACTTCACCATCGCCAATCTGTATTATTTTATTTATAAAATCTGAAAGAAAAATATATAAGAATACTTTAAAATCAGCAGACAGCATAAACACTATTGAATGTGCAGTTCTCATATTTAATTAAGAGTTTGGTATTGTTATTAGTTGCATCCTGTTGCAAGACTGTCAAGCTACAGTCTTGTAGCTTTCTACCTATATGTAAATAGGCATTATTAGTTTTCCACATCCAAGGAATGCTTGTTAATGGTATCTGGTAAAATATGTAAAATTTCCACCTTCCACAGACCCATCACCACTTGCACTAAAATTATATTAATCACTACTTACAATACAATAATATAATGTATTATATAACCATCACCACATTTGTGCTACAATAAATGAACCTTCACCAAAATCATATGTAATAAAGTTATCAAGTAAGAAGACACTACTTACACAGTTCAACAAACAGTTAAACAAGCTTTGTTTACCCAAGATAAGTTTGGAACAGTTATTGCTAGAGAGTGAAGAGTAAGGCTGGCACTGCTCCTCAAGCTAGTGACATCACTGTATGTCCTGTTATAGATTCTAATCTGTAATCACTCAATAGCAGGAATACAGGAGACGGTGTGTTCGTCTTACTATAGAAACATTTGATCATAATAATATAGTTTCACACTTGCTCTATCAAGACAAAGATGAAATTGATACTGTTCTAATTTTTAAAGAAACACTATATGATCAGTCAATTTAACTTTCATTCCTTTAATGATGACACAAAGTGACAGCATGATTGAGCTCCTGCTAATTATCTCCCAATCAATAATGGTGGCAGTTATAGTCTGTGCATTAAATTCATAATCTGTCACCAGCTTTAACTGCACATTTAATTTGTCTGGACACACACACATTCTGAACACTGGCAGTGTGCACACAATGTCTAAATAATTAGTTCATTATCTGTATATATTGAATGTAAAAAATCAATTAATAGACTACCCTAATTTTAAACAGGAAGGATTTGGGAGTATAGCACAGCCAAAAATAAGGGAATAATTTGCCAAAACATTGGATAAAGCTCTTTATCATCAAGTAGAGAAAGTACCATAACTAAGAAAAGTAACTTTAGTTATATAAGATTTCCTTCCTGATTTATTTGTCAAACCAACAGTATTCTCAAGAGGGATAAGTTGCTACACAAATTATGAAAGAACTGGTAACTGAATAGGCAATTTATTTAGTGGACAGACTTGAATTGCACGTATGACTGTTCCAATTTTATCTTCAAAATGTCTCCATAGAAATAACTGGTCCAGATGAGCCTCCGAGGACAGACTAAGACATCTGTTAAAATTAAACTTTTTTTGAGAAGATAAAAAGAAGAGTGTGCAGCTACAGTACAGACAATTACAAATACGAGACACCATAAACACCAAAGCTTTTTATAAAGATCACCATACTACCGTCACCAGTGACAAGCCCCAAAATACCCCTTCCAACACCGTTTTCTCATTAAAGTGACTTTTTACCTTGATAATCAATAATCTGTCAATATTTCCCTCATTGTCAACACCATTATACCGTGTAGAATGCTTAAGCCAGGTGATATACGGCACTTGGTCCGATATGACTGAGCACTGCAGCTTTGCTTCCGTTCCTTGGACCACTGTACGATTACTCAGCTCCTTGTTTATGATTGGTCGACTGGGTAGGCGCTCTACACACAAAGAGGATCAGTTAGGTTAAGGTGAAAGAATGAATTCTAAGAACAGATATATTAGCGAACCCTAAATTAAAGGAACCCTGACCACAACATTTGCCTTAATTTAATTTCAAGAATTCTTTGCAAAATAAAATTTATTTTGGAAATTTGTATACTTTTGTATACTCTTATATAAACCTATACAGCCCTATCAACAGAATTAGATACGTATAAAATATGTAGTTACACAATCCTATCAAAGAAAGGACATTCCTTCTTTATACATCAAAAACCATACACAGTGCTGATACACTTGTCATACAAGTTGCCAAATGTGCCAAACCCCAATGAATGTTGGTTGTCGTCTCAGAGTGATGTGATGTTTCCAGCTAATCCCAAAGAATTAGTAGGTTGATTTCATATGGCTGATACCAGTGCTTTGGGCAAACCATTGCATGGTACATATATTATACCAAGCAATCACACTCATAAGCACTTGACAGTGTGATAAGTTGCATTACTTTTCTGGTATAGCCAAGAGACACCAATGCTGGGTGGACCGTATTGTGTAGCTTGTGACAAAATGCCATATACAGTATTCTCCATAACAAATGAACGAAGCAAACAGTATACACAATTTCACAATTATTATTATACTGCCACCATAACTCTTCACAGTAACGATGATGCAATCAACTTTGAAGGATTTCCTGGGTGCCAAACTGTCCTGGGGTCCCTCCTCATTCACAGCTTCCTGCAAGTAACTACAATACAATGTGTACCTTCAGAGACCTGTGGGCAGCCACTATCCTAAGATCTTTTCCAGGTGGTGGATACTTGCCATCCCAGAAACTATTGTGAAATGTTTTTGTCATCTTTTCTTGAATTTGAATTTGTAGTCCAAATGCCTTGTGCGCTGCATCATTCTCTGTGCTTGGAAGGTTACCTAATTTACCCTAGTGGCCTCAACGAAGACAGGAAGCCTTCGGCTTCTCGAAGGTCCCCCCACTTTCCTTGATCTTTTCTAGGTATATTTTAATACTCAACACAGTTTTGGCAGTTACGGCTTCGGCAGGTAGGTGGTTCCATGGGCTTCAGCAGGTAGGTGGCTCATGTGGGTGAAAAAGCATCTCCTATTCTCAATCCAACACTGTGGCTTGTTGAGCTTGAAACTCCTTGGTTGTTACATCTGACCTTCTGAAAAAATACCAGGATCAACATCCTCTAACTTGTTCAGTATTTTAAAAGTTTCAATGAGATCTGCCCTGTCATGCCCGGTTTGCAGTGTTGTTAGCCCTGTGGCCCTCAACCGTTCCTGATACGGGAGATGACTTGTGTTGCCCGGTGATTCACCTTCTCCAGAGCAGCTATGTCCTTCTGAAAATTAGGTCTCCATGCTTGGATATCATAATCCAAATGGGAGGCACACCAGAAATTTATACAGTAGAACCATTACCTTCTTTTCCTTATAGTCAAAAGTATGCTTGATTATCCCAAGAGTTTGGCTAGCTTTTCTGACTTCTGCACTCACCTGTTGTGCAACTTTTTAATGAGTAGTGGATCTTGACTCCAAGGTCCTTTCCTTCATCCATCTGCTATAATGTAATGCTATTAATCTGGTAGTCATGGCATGGGTTGTTATGCCCCACATGCATGGTCTTGCATTTGTCGATATTAAAAAGCATTTGCCAGTCTTCTGACCATGTGTGGAGTTCATGTAGATTGCTTTGTAAGGCTTCAATATCATTATCATTTCTCACCTTACCATAAATCTTTGTGTCATGCAAATTTGATGTGTGGTTTTGTAATATTCTCATCCATGTCGCTGATGTACATGACAAATAGGGTAGGGCTCAAAATGGATCCTTGTGGCACCCCACTTATCACATTTCTGCATTCAGTTTCGTTTCCATTTAGCATGACTCGTTGTTTTCTTTCATTAGTTCGTCAATGTTCTTTCTAATTATATTGCATGTTATGCAAAATAATTATACATTGTTATGCATATGCATTATGTTATGCTCCATATCCCTAAATTCCTTCTCCACCCGTCCTTCAAACATTTGTGTGGGTGATGGGATGTCATCCAACCTTTCAAGTGTGAACACTGATGTAAAATATTCATTTAGAGTATTTGCTGCCCTTTTTTTTTTCCCCTTACTCTAACCATTATAGCTTGGTTAGTTGCATCTATTTAGAGTCCAACTGAGTCTTTTGTTTTGGTTTTACCTCTTATATATGCATAGAACAATTTTGGATCATTTACTTATGTTTTGGGCAAGTTTTCTTTCGTAATTTCTTTTGGCTGCTCTAATTGTCCGAGTGGCCGAGTTTAGATTAATGATGTCCATCTTTCTCCACTTTTTCCTGTCTGGTGATTCTACCATCTTCTATCAGTATAAAGTATACTATACAAGCTAGTACTGGGATATAGAGTCCCTGCAATCTGGCTTATAACTAATTCAACTTTCTTATAATGACCTCTAGGCATTCATCTTCCATTAAAGTTTTTATTTCATATTCACCATATTAAAAAATTCAATAAAATGTTTCAATGCCTTATTAAATTGCCTTATCAATACCTTATTAGTCCTGAAGACCTCGTCCTATTCTGATACTTGAAGTAAGTTAATTTTGGGATGATTTTGGCCACCTTGTTTTAAAATTTTTTATAGAAATGTCAAGCTCTAAAGATAAATTCTTTATGCTTAATTATAATCCAGCAGTCCAAGTGGATTTGTAGAACCAGATACAACAAATATCTTATGATGATATTATGTGTGCATATGATGATTCTTCACATTTAGTTGACTTTGTTGCAGCAGCATTTAGGAATTTTGCAAGAATATAAAGATATCTTTAAAATATTTTGAAGAAAGCAGAATCATGTATTCTTCCATTCTTCATTATTTTTAATTTATAGATTTAATTAATTTATACCTTAATAGAAAGTTAGCATAAAAAAAAATTCCTTACATGAGAATAAATATCAAATGCTCTTTTTACTAACCAATAACTTCTAAAACATAAGTGTGGTTGATGGTTCCATGGCTGTTGGAGACAAAGCACGTGTAATTTCCAGAATCTGTTGGTACAAGGTTCTCCATTTTGAGTAAGGGTCCCTTGATCCGCACAATACCCAACTGTCGCACAGGCTTCTCACCATTCTAGAATTTAACAAACAGTTAATTAGTTCATATTATCATTTCCTCCTCAAATAGGCTTTGCTTGTTATATATAGAGAACAGTAGTACTGTATTTAATTAAGGTTACAAAGGAAACTAGAAAACATGTAAAAATATATAGCATGCACAGTACAAACTTTTCTCAAAATATTCTAGACTAATGTTTCAGTTAGTTCAGTTGTTTATTACGCTCCACATACCTATCCTGTGAGCGGTGGCGGAAAGGGTTACAGAGCCACATAATGGGTTCAGGAACCCTATACAGTATTTCATTTAGCTATGCAAGTCACAAATGATTCAAGAAGTGGCCCTCAACAGTCTCTCTACGGGCAGTTTACATCTGCAGTAACTCAGTTACATAGTCCTGTAACTGTGTAACTGATTCTGATAAAGAAAGAAACCTAGAGGTGGTTCTAGATATGGATGGTGAAATATTCAAGAAAGTGTTCGTGACCTTTGTGAGACCAAAGTTGAAATATGTAAAGTTGGTATGGTGAGCTTACCTTAAGAAGCACAAGAACAAACTGGAAAAGATGCAAAGTCATGCAACTAAATGGCTGAACTGAAAGACAAGATTGGTCAAGGGAAGGTCAGAGACATTAAATATGCCAAAGCTAGAAGGTTGAGGAAAAAAAAAGGCAATATGATCACTATTGTACATACAAAATAGTAACTGGAATCGACAAAATTGATACGGAAGAACATCAAGAGAAAGAGGTCATAGATTTGGGGTAACTAAACAAAGCTGCCAAGGAAATGTAAGAAGATTCACTTTTGCAAACAGAGTGGTAAATTGTTAGAAAAAGTGAAAAGGTGGTGGATGCCAAAACCGTTAGTAATTTCAAAGTGTTATGTGACAAAGAGTACTGGGAAGACAGGTCGCCACGAGAATAGCTCTCAGCCTGTAATTTTACTTAGGTAATTACACTTCTCTGTTATAGGACCTGGAGGATAAAGTATTTACTGTACAGTATACAAAGCAGGTCACAGCAGAAGCAAAATTTCTAGTTCAATAGTGCAAAATTTCACTCAATAGTGCAACAAATGTGCAGTACACATTTTTTGTTAATTTCATTATCAGGGGAAAGCACCAAGCCATTACAACTTTACAGCATTTGGAAGGGGTCAGGATAAGGATTTAGGATGGGATGGGGGGTGGAAGGAATGATGCCCAACCACTTGGACAGTCGGGGATTGAACGCCGATCTGCTTTAAATGAGACCGTCGCTCTACTGCCCAGTCCAAGTGGCTGGGTAGTATGCACAAAAGATGACATTTGAAGTAATGTGGACAAATGTATACATACTTTCACAAAACAAAAATGCTGAAATATAGAACAAACAGCTGTAAACTCACTTTTAACCAGGTCGTATTGAGATTGGGGCCACGAGCTTGACACCTAAGGTCAGCAACATTACCAGCTGGCTTCATCATGAGAGAGTTGAGATCTTTGGTGAAGACAGGAGCAGAGTCTGCAGGGTACTCTCCCTGCTCCATCTCCAGCACTTTGCTATCAGCATATAAAGCCTGAAGCACACCAGTAGATTTTAATTACTTTGTTCAGCTAAAACAGCTAAGACAAACAAATAAGACATTATATGTATACAAAAAGTACAATGCATTTCTTTAAGCAGGTACTACTATAAGTACCTGGGGTAGGGTAGGCGTGGGAGTGTCCTCTTCCACAATAAGCGTGTAGTTTACCCAACCATGCAGATACCCTGTGCTGCTCCACTTGCAGGAGTACAGCCCTTCATCTTCCATCTTGGCTGCCTTCACCCGTATACGGGGCCACAATCTGTTCCTGATGACAAAAAACAAAAGTAACAATACAGTTACAATACAGAATATACAGTTACAAATGTACCTGTATTTCAAAATTGTTCCTACTACCTAGACATTAGTGAAGGCCAATCCCACTGGACTGCTCAGCTATTTAAAAGTACAAAATACTACATAGTGGTGCTCATGTTATAAAAATGTTAACTCAAATGTGAACAAATCATATACTGTACTGTGACTTGTGCACAGGAGGTAATTGCAGATATCCAATGGAGTAGTGTAAGGTTAATATTGTACACACAGTATGCTACACTAAATAAGCCATAGTACATTCAATGAATACTGTAAAATTATAGGAAAGGCAAATTCAACAATGGCTCTATATTATTTGTTTTACACCTAAGGTCAGCAAGAACGATGATGAGAATGAAGACACGGATGAAGAAGAGAAGGATAATAAGGCTGAAAGGATGAGAATGATACTGAGAAGGATGTAGAAGATGAGGGGAGGATGAGGATGGGAAGGAGACTGAAGATGTTGAAAGGGAGGTGGTGGTGGTATGGAGTACTGTATAAGGTACAGTGCTATAATGAGTACAGGAAGTACACTATACAGTAATGAATTTAGGGAGTATAATGAGTATAGGAAGAATAATGAGTACAAAGTCTCAAGGAGTTGAAGGAGCATAATGAGTAACATAATAATGTAACAAATATAGAGAAGCATAAACAACACAAGACAAGAGATCAAGGACTATAATGATTCAAGATATAGAGTATAAGAGTATATAGAGTTCAGGAAGTATAACAGATCCAATGATTAGTGTAACTTTGAGCAAGAAGTACAAGTTGCAGGTATTCAATGCTCCAGAAGTATAATGCAGTACGTGGGCCTACACAGCTTTGAGAACATACGGAACATTGTGTGTATGATGAGTTCAAGGAGAATGAGATCAGAGTATAATGAGTAGGGTATACCGAGTACAGTACAGTACTGTACTGAGAGCACATTATTCAGAATACATTATGAGTTAATGCTCTATACTGTTTTCATAATACAAGTTAATAAAGAAATAATGAGTAAAAAGTAAAAATGAGTGCAGGAAATATAGTTTAAATAGATATACAGACAATATAAGCTGTCTCAGACAAGCCGCCTGCGCTTGTATTTACTCTTTATGTTTCTTATACAGGGAATATAATGTTGGATGTGGGTGGTGCGTGTATTCACCTAGTTGTGCTTGCAAGGATTGAGCTCTGCTCTTTCAGCCAGCCTCTCAACTGTCAATCTAATCCCCTCCCCACCTCCAGGAAGCAGCCCGTAACAGCTGTCTTACTTTCAGGTATCTATTTACTGCTAGGTGAACAGGAGGCATCAGGGTTAAAGAAGAAGCTCTGCCCATTTGGTTTCTTGCCGGCGCCGGGAATCGAACCACGGTCTACAGGATTACGTGTACAGTGTTCTGTCCATTCAGCCACCAGCGCCCCTAAGTAGTGTAGATTGAATGGTGAATAGTGGGTGAGTAAATGGTGGATGGTGCATGTAGAGTGGGTGGTGAATGGTGGGTGGTGCATTTAGAGTCCTCATGGATCACAAGTGGTTGATAGTGATCCAGGACGGAGCGATGCCTCCTAGAGTGGGTGAGTGTGGTATAGTTCTCATACAGGTCCATAGATTCCAGCCTCAATGTTTCACATCCACCCGTGCACCCAGCCGTCCTCCGCTGCCCACTCCCTGTCTACCCTCTGTGTCTTCTTTCAACAGTATAAGGACATACATTAGTTAAACAAAAGTTTAATTTTGCCTTGAAGGGCGAGTTTATTGGGCATAGCCAGCCATATAAGCATGTACAACACCTCCTAATAGGAAAGAAACCCGCTGGGTTGTTCATCCTGTCACTTACTGTCTCAGTGAACAGCTTATCAAACAAGATTAACATTTGCCAACCCGTGATATATGTGTTATCTTGCGGGTGGAAAATAAAACAATCATAAACTCCAGTAAAGCAGTTTTCACCTACCCGTCGAAACCGTAAATGCCAAAACATTTCTGCAATTAATACTCCAGCTGGACAAAATCATCTGGGGGGAATGGGGGAGACGTTTGACAAGTCGCGGGCTTCCTGTCCTCGCCGAGGGCATTAGAGAGATGGTGGCCCTCACGTTCCTGATGCCCTCGAAGACAACAGAGGCAGACTTTTGGTGGGCGGTGTTGGGAGGTAGCAAAGCCACTGCCACCAGTTGACTGACGGTTGAGAGGCGGGACCAAAGAGCCAAAGCTCAACCCCCCGCAAGTACAAATAGGTTAGTACAGGGATGTTTACTGACCTGGTATCCACGACTTTGAGGCGCGGGTTCTGGAGCTGGTCGAGCGGGACGTCGTTGAAGTACCAGGAGCCGAAGTCGAGGGAGCCCTCCTGGATGTCGTCTGGTCGACACTTCAAGCTGACTCGACCACCCACCACCACCCTCCGCTCCCGGTGGAAGCTGTGCTCGCTGGCCGCCGTCTCCACCACCTCCACGCCCGGCCGACCCCCTTCTCCAACATCGTAGTCGTATTCCTCTACACACACACACCAAACTAACATTACCTTTGAGTTTTTAAATCCTAAAATTAAACTATCAGCACTTTAAAATACTAAAACAAATACTAAACAAATACATAAAATCTTAAATATTAAATTATAATTACTAATTCCTAAAATATACAGACTTAATAAGTTAATATTTTTGTAGTAAATATACAAACTGTATTATTTAAGCACTAAATACGACCACTTGGCCCAAATGTTTTGCATGGTGCTACTCCTAGTAATAAACCACCTTGATAAACCAAGGCGGCCCACGTATATACCTTATACTACTGTAACTTCCTTATTTACAATGTTATCACATTATCACCATAGCCCGGGCTACTTGCTATTCCAAGTCCTGCAGGCTGCTCCAAGCCGGGGGAAGAGGAGGGGACGAAGAGGAGAGAGGAGGGGGACGAAAGGAGAGAGGAAGGGGGACGAAGAGGAGAGAGGAAGGGGGGACGAGAGGGAGAAAAGGGGGGACGAAGAGGTGAGAGGTGGGGGACGAAGAGGGAGAACTAGGGGGGCAACAGGAGAGAGGAAAGGAAGTGAGCGGGAAATAGGAATATATGGGGAGATATTAAAAAGAAGGGGTGGAGGTGATTGAGATACGGATAACTACCCGGGCATCCACCTTATAGGGACCCATCCTAGAATATATACATATAAAATTAATTCCCACATATATAGAAGTAGTTTGTTTTAAAGACAATGGGACGCCACATGTATTCAAGAGGAGACTCAAGAGCACAACCTGGATCATGCTGGCTTCCAACACTGTCCACCCAACACGGGCCCACACACGGATCTCACAATGTGCCATTACCCTCATGATGGCCAGAGATGTGTGGGTTGTGAAGGGAAACCTTGAGGAAGACCTGCCGCACCATTGTATTTAAAACTCTATCAACATTGAGCTGTTTAGCGATAGATCGGTTACTAACGTAGTATTAAATAACACCATTACATTGCTGGTGATAAACTACCAGAAATGTTGGCAGGTTTACCGCGCGCAACTCGTTAATCCTGTGGTGGAGAGACACCGGGAGACTGTCCAGTGTACCACAGTCCACTATCACCCGGTCCAGTGTACCACAGTCCACTATCACCCGGTCCAGTGTACCACAGTCAAGTATCACCCGCGGCCGCCACTTACAATATTCCACTTAATAATTACTTGCCTTATAGGGACCGCTTGGTAATATGAACTGGTACTGGACATCCCGGATCTCTTTAATTGTTTCGTTATTCGTTCGTAATAGTTGTCAAACATTTAGTTGACAAACATGTCATGCTAGGGTGGTTGTTCGAGTACTAGGTGCATGCAGGTACTAAGCTATAATTAAACGTATTTAATATTTGTAATTATTATTAATAATAATTATAAATGTCCCATAATATGTAGGTGCTGACCAAAGAACGGAAAATGTCCCTGCGTGGAATGAGACAGGAAGTTTCCGTATTGGAAGAAGAGAGATGACATTGGAGATGACTGATGAGATGGAGGTGACAGATGCGCGCGCAGCAAGCCGCGGTACTTAAACGCGAGCAACAGAGGTCACGACCACCAAGTGAAAAAGGAAGGATACCATGAGATCCAATGGTGCCTCAAGTGCTACGAGTTCTCCCACGCCACCAACAGGTGTCAACACCCCGTCCAGAAGTGCAACCTGTGCGCCCTGTACCATCATTACTCCATATGAAAGGCAGACGCACATCGTTGCCTGCTTTGCAATGGTGATCACCCGACAATTTCCTGTCGCTGCCCTCGCAGACAGAAAAAAAATCAAGGCCCACGTTGGAAGCCAAGAAGGGCACCCCCCCCCTCCTCCTAACATCACCCGGAGCCCCATCCAGAGCTCCAGGTGGGGCTCACATGCAGTGGCCCGTGTTCTATGGTGAGCACGGGCTCACCATAGTCCATGCTACTTGCAAATGTTATTCCGAGTAGAATATAAACCAGCAACAACGAGGTCACAACCTCCCTCCACCTCCACCTCCCGAACCCTTCACACGCAAATACAAAAGGTGAAATTAGTTTTAGTTTGAGTTTACTGAATGACATCAAAATTAATCTAAACACATACTTTATCGCGGAGAATAAGGAACTTAACAATTACGAGTGAATTGCAAAGGTAGGTAGTTAATGAGAAGATATGTAGTTAATTACACACAGAAATCACCAAGTGAAAGTGTCCGGTGCAGATCCGTCGTGATGCATCAAATGAACAAATCCACACGGGCCGTGACAAGTGCCTTAATTGACTGAGCTACGACATGGTTCTGGTAGGACAGGTAGAATTGCAACCGGGAAATCATCCTGATTTACCAACGGATCCTGCAGCCTCTCCGAGACACAGACCAGGGTTTTACACAATTCCCCCCATGCACTCGAGCTATGTCAATAGGCTGTTCTACCTCTTCATTCTGTGTGTAATGAAGCAAGGGCGAAGAGGTAGAACAGTCTATTGACATAGCTCGAGTGCATGGGGGGAATTGTGTAAAACCCTGGTCTGTGTCTCGGAGAGACTGCAGGATCCGTTGGTAAATCAGGATGATTTCCCGGTTGCAATTCTTTTAACCATGTCGTAGTCGATTAAGGCAGCGTCTGGGATCCTCTCGGGCATAGGTTCGAACCCTCGTCACGGCCCTTGTGAATTTGTTCATGTGAATTTGTTCATAGGTAGTTAATGTTGCTGTGAAGAGTACAGATGGAGATGGCTCCAGGCATCTAACAGGCCGGGGACACAACCCCCGCGGCGTCACCCACATTACATGTTTAATAAGCTCAGGAACCTGTACACCGGTAGATTAATAGTTGTGAGACTCTTCACAACTCTTACTGTTCAAAACTCTTACTTACAACTGTTTCAGCGTCGGCTAAAGAGCCGACGCTCAACCCCCGCAAGCACAACTAGGTGAGTACTAACACGTCAGGATTCCGTGTACACTCTAATAGTCAACTTTGCATTTCTGTTAAATGTGCATTACGGGTTAAGGTTTAGTGGAAGAGGTGGGGTGAGGCGTGGCCGCCCACTCTCCTGTACGGCAAACTCGTCCACTTTCCACTGGTAGGATGTCTTGTAAAAAGTTTGGTAAGAAATAATATAATTACTCTCCTGGAGTGTGGAGTGGCGTCCCCTCCCCAGCCCGCCTACAGGCCCCGTGAAGAGGCGTGCAAGGCTTGACACACGCCTCACGGCCTATCCACCTCCACCCCTCCATACGCCCCCCTTCCACACCTATTTAATCCGCCCCCGCCCACTCCATACATCCCCGTCCATACGGTCCAGAGGCCAGGAAGACCAGGAGCCACGGGCGACCGGCCAGGCTGCGGGAGTAGAACTATGGAAATCATCTGCAGTTAAGTTGTAGTTGGAATCACAAGAGTCACAGATGTCAGAAACAGCTGTAAACAAATACAATAGTTTGGATGAAGTTGCTGTATTAAGCTACTAATAGTTCAAAACCGGGGCTTGGGAGCTAATGATCGACCCTCCAAGTTTATGCAGGTGAGTAGACACGCGTGCGCGCGCATCTACTCATCTATACATAAGCTACATTTCTTGTATTTATACAAATAAATATATTAAAGTATAAACATATTCATCACAAAAGAAAACTTCAGAAAACGATAAAGTCCAATACAAGACATTGTTGAGAGAGGACAAGATGAATGTTGAGACATATGGTGGAGGAGGTCCCAGAGACGTGCGGGCCCCTGGGGGCTCCGGGGGCCGTCCCAGAGAGGCGGGCGGGGGCCCCTGGTGACACCCCAGCCTGGCCTCGACAGTCCTCCCCAGCCTTCATTACCCACCAATAACACCGCGACACTCACCAGTGTACATCGCACACCTCCAAATAACCTCACATATTACTGAAATCAAACTTTCTACTTTTTTTCCTCGACCGCATGGCGAGCGACTGCCATGAATGCTCTCTTCATTCCGACCTGGCGTCCCATCCATCATTTCACTGACCACCTTGTGATTGGCTTTTGTCAAGCTGGCCTCGACCAATCCCACCCGGTCCGCCACGCCCCTGGCCAATGGCCGTCGCCACTCGTGCACGTTGCGCCACCATTGGAGATCACACCGAACTGATTTGCAATGTAAAGCGGGACAACGGAGGGACCGGTTGTGGTCTCCGCTGCTCAATCTGCACATCATCCACAACTCTCGCCCGCTTCTTGCCTCCTTTCCTGGCCCATCCCATCTGCCTATATACACCTATATTAGGCGTCCCTCCCCTACACTCTCCCCTACACCAACACACGGGAGCGTCCCTCCCCTACACCAACACACGGGAGCGTCCCTCCCCTACACCAACACACGGGAGCGTCCCTCCCCTACACCAACACACGGGAGCGTCCCTCCCCTACACCAACACACGGGAGCGTCCCTCCCCTACACCAACACACGGGAGCGTCCCTCCCCTACACCAACACACGGGAGCGTCCCTCCCCTACACCAACACACGGGAGCGTCCCTCCCCTACACCAACACACGGGAGCGTCCCTCCCTACACCAACACACGGGAGCGTCCCTCCCCTACACCAACACACGGGAGCGTCCCTCCCCTACACCAACACACGGGAGCGTCCCTCCCCTACACCAACACACGGGAGCGTCCCTCCCCTACACCAACACACGGGAGCGTCCCTCTCCTACACCAACACACGGGAGCGTCCCTCCCCTACACCAACACACGGGAGCGTCCCTCTCCTACACCAACACACGGGAGCGTCCCTCCCCTACACCAACACACGGGAGCGTCCCTCCCCTACACCAACACACGTGGGCGTCCCTCCCCTACACCAACACACGGGAGCGTCCCTCCCCTACACCAACACACGGGAGCGTCCCTCCCCTACACCAACACACGGGAGCGTCCCTCCCCTACACCAACACACGTGGGCGTCCCTCCCCTACACCAACACACGGGAGCGTCCCTCCCCTACACCAACACACGGGAGCGTCCCTCCCCTACA